TTGCATGGAGGGACTGGGAGAGTATTATGCTAAGCGAAATAAGCCAGTTAGACAAAGACAAATTGTCTCACATGTGGAATATAATGAACAAAATAAACTAATGAACAAAACAGGTCCAGAGGTATGGATGCATGGGACAGAATAATAGATCTCAGGGGACAGGAAGAGATTAACCAAAGAACATATATGCACATATGCATAAGTTATGGACACAGCCAATAGTATGGGGAAGGCCTGGGGTGGGGAGCGGTTGGGTGGAGGAAGGCAAAAAGGGAGAATGGGAGACATCTGTAATACTGTCAACAACAACAAAACACACACACACACACACACACACACACACACACACACATACAAGAAAGAAAATATCTGTCATGTATCACAAATAAAGCTGAATAAGAAAACAAAAGTGTTTTGGCATTTGTGTACTTTACTTTCAAAATTTCTACTATTCTAATAATGCTGATTGTATAATAAACAATATATTTAAAATACTATAAATTATTGCAGTTAAAAAAGGAATTTTAGCATATTACCTTAAATCATCTCTCTTTTTAGAAAAAATAATACTATGGGGTGCCAGTACAGTGTCTTGGCCAGGTTCAAGCCTCGGACTAATGAAAGGACAGGGCCTCTCATTGCCATGTGCAAGTTCCAGCTGGAGGGCAGGGCCCTCCCAGCACAATCATAGCCAACGGCTGTGGTTGTAAGCTTGAACCTGTGGTCCAAACACGTGGCCCCACGTGCCTGAGTGATGTAGGCTTGATAGAGTTCAGGTGCATGTAGTTGAGTAGGATTGAAACCAACGAGAATGTTGTAAACATCTTGATCACACCCCTACTTTGCCTCGTGGCATCTGCTATAAAATAAAGACACGGCTTGTGGGCGCTGGCGCTGTCTCCTCATCAGGGAGCAGCGTCCCACCAACACCCAGCTTTCATTCTCTTGTCTGTCTTTTCTCAATCCTTTCACCCCCCCACTCAGGGTCACTGAACCAGGCTGAGCTGGCATGGCACATAAGGCGCCCTGGGGCTGAGTATGCCATGGCCGTGCCGGCTCCCCACATATGGCGCCCGACCAGGGACTGAGTTCGGGGTAATTTAAAAAAGTGGTCAGGTGAAAGGAGGCTCCAAGGCGCAGAGAGTAAGCTTAAAAAACAAAAGTAAGAAAATAAGAAGTTAAGCTTAAAAAGCAAAAGTAAGAAGGCCAAAAAACAAAAATAAGGTAGGGAGCTGAAGTGTAGTAAAATTAGCTTGGTGTAAAACATGGGAATAATGCTTAATCGAAGCATTTTTTTTAATATATTTTTTATTGATTTTTTACAGAGAGGAAGGGAGAGAGATAGAGAGTTAGAAACATCGATGAGGGAGAAACATCGATCAGCTGCCTCCTGCACATCTCCTACTGGGGATGTGCCCGCAACCCAGGTACATGCCCTTGACCGGAATCGAACCTGGGACCTTTCAGTCCACAGGCCGACGCTCTATCCACTGAGTTTCACCGGTTTCGGCAATCGAAGCATTTTTAAAGTAAGCATTTTTAAATTTTTTAAGGAGAGAATAAGTAAAAAATAGACAAGGGGTGAGGCAGAAAAGCATGAAAAGAAGTGGATCCCTAAAAATAAAAATAAATAAATAAATAAGCGGTAGAAATAAGCAGTAGAAAATAAGAAATCGCTTAGGTTTTGTTAAGCTAAAGATAAGTAAGATAAAAAAAAGCTAGAGAAATAGGTAGAAATAAGTGGTAGAAATAGAGACCTAAGCGGTAGGAAATAAGCTGTAGAAAATAAGCGGTGAAAATAAGCTGTAGAAATAAGAAATAAGTAGAAATAAGCGGTAGAAATAGAGAAATAAGCAATAGAAAGTAAGCGGTAGACGTTAGAAAATAAGTGGTAGGAAATAAGCGGTAAGAGAAATAAGCAGTAGAAATAGAAAATAAGCAGTAAGAAGCAAGCGGTAGGAAAATAAGTGAACAGGAAGATATAAAATAAGGTAGAAATCTCCTAGTTTTTGTTTAAGCCACTGTAAAGTAAAAGATGGCTGTGGTTGATGTTTAAGGAAGTAATTTTTATTTTAGACCTAGATTGTAAGCTCTTGCAGCAGTTGCATTGTTTTTGGGCTTTGGTTATCTTTGCTTGTGCGACCTGATAGCTCCCTGGGACTTTGGGTCTGTGTGAGACGCCAGACTCATTGGAAGTCTCCAGCTCTGCAGGACCAAGGGTTGCTCGTTTCCATGCAGCAGCGGCTAAAGAAAGAAGCTGAGAAGGGACCAGACTTCCACCGGCGTGGACGGGGCTGATTTGACTGGGACTGGTGCAGACTCAGTGCCGAGGTCAACCGTCCAAACAGCCTGATCAAGGGGACTAGTTTTGCATTGGCGGCATTTTACTACGCAAGTGGCCGAGGTATCAGCTTGGAGTCAGCTGAAGAAGATAGCGACTGAGGCCAAGCAGATGTTAGAAAAACAAGTGGAAGCTATGCTAGCATTGGTGAACTGTCAGTTTTCTGTAAAATCTTGCGGAGCTAAATCTAAGGACTCTGGGTGGAATGTCCTGAAAATGTTAACATGTTTGTAGTTTGATTTTGCATTGGTATTGCTTTATTAGCCAGAGTTTTGTTCTCTTGTTAACATTGCTGTTTATAGTTTTGTTAATAACCAGAAGTCTGTTTTGATTATGCTGAATAATTTGTTTAGAGTTTTTTGGATAATGTAAATGGGCGTGTTTAAAAACAAAAGTAAAGGGGGATACATGGGGCGCGGGTACAGTGTCTTGGCTAGGTTCAAACCTCGGACTAATGAAAGGACAGGGTCCTCTCATTGCCACGTGCAAGTCCCAGCTGGAGGGCAGGGCCCTCCCAGCACAATCATAGCCAACGCCTGTGGTTGTAAGCTTGAACCTGTGGTCCAAACACGTGGCCCCACGTGCCTGTGTGATAGAGTTCGGGTGCATGTAGTTAAGTGAGGCTGAAACTTACGAGAATGCTGTAAACAACTTGATCACGCCCCTACTTTGCCTCGTGGCATCTGCTATAAAATAAAGACACGGCTTGTGGGCGCTGGCGCTGTCTCCTCATCAGGGAGCAGCGGCCCACCAACACCCAGCTTTCATTCTCTTGTCTGTCTTTTCTCAATCCTTTCACCCCCCCACTCAGGGTCACTGAACCAGGCTAAGCTGGCATGGCACATAAGGCGCCCTGGGGCTAAGTATGCCATGGCCGTGCCGGCTCCCCACATAATACATTAGAGACAAATAGCAATTGTTTTAGATCAAATAATTTTAGAACTAGAAGAAATCTTGCCATTATTTTGCTTAGTCCCTTCCTTTTGCCAATGGAACAACAAAATGAACCCCAAAGGAATGAGCGAACTTTCAACAGTCAGATATATATTTCATAAAAAATACTAAAACTTCCTAAATCAATATAATTTCCACATTGCTTTTAATAAAGTTAAAAATCTTTGTCCGATTCACAATGCAGTGATATTTTAATTATTGAAAACCAGTAGAAGACACACTAGGCAAGTAACCAATTCTAATTTCTTGGACATTTCAGTTCTTAGCTTCAGGATCTTCATCTTTTTAGATGACATCTGAAGTTCCTTTCATCTCAGTAATTCTATGATTTTTTTTTAAATCCTCACCCGAGGATATGTTTTATTGATTTTTGAGAGAGAGAGAGAGAGAGAGAGAGAAGAGAGAGAGAGAGAGAGAGAGAGAAACACCAATCAGTTGCCTCCTGTACACACCCCAACCAGGGATAGAACCCGCAACCTATGTACGTGCCCTAACCTGGAATCAAACTCATAACCTGTTTGGTGCACAGGACAATGCTCCAAACAATTGAGCCATCAGGCCAGGGCAGTAATTCTGTGACTTTTAATACAAAACTTTAAAACAAAAGTTTCCCCTGTCACAATGCTTTAAAATTATCTATTCACTAGAGACCCAGAGCATGAATTTGTACATGGAGGGAGGGGGGTCCCCTTGGCCTGGCTGGCGATCGGAGCCAGCCGGCCAAGGAGAGGGACTGCAGGAGGTTGGCCACAGGAGCGCACTGACCACCCGGCCGGCCGGGGGGAGGAACTGCGGGAGGTTGGCCAGCTGTGGGAGGTTGACTGTGGGGATGCACTGACCACCAGGGGGCAGCTTCTGTGTGGAGTATCTGGCCCCTGGTGGTCAGTGCGCATCATAGCTACTGGCCGGTCATCCAGTCGCTTAGGCTTTTTATATTTTTATATATATATATATATTAGAGGTCCGGTGCACAAAATTCATGCAAGAGGCTCAGCTCCTGCCGCCGTGGCAGCCACCTCCTCTGCCTTGGCCCCAGCCGCCAAGGCTTCATCTGGAAGGACATCCGGTCTAATTAGCATATTCTGCTTTATTGTTATAGATGAGTCTAACTCCCTTGCTAGACTATAATGATCCTTATGGGCAGAGCATAGGTTTTATTCATTGTGTATCACCCAAAGCTAGCAGTGCAGGTTAAAAAAAAGGGGGTGGGGGGTGGGGAGACATCTTCTAAATTCCTAAGATGAAACATGTTTCACTTATGAAATCCCAAAGTATAAATAATACATTCATAACCAAATTATCTATTATGTAAAAATTCTGACAAAACAAAACAGTATTTCTCATTGTCATATGGCAGTGAATTTTTTAAGACCATGTCCAGCCTCAAAGTAGCCTGACCTATTTTTCGTGATGATTGCAGAAAGGAATACTATGGAGAAAAGGTCCTAAATTATTAACTAGATAATTAAGTAAATAATCTATCCTTAGATAATCCAGATGTAAATATACAAATACTATCAATCTCAGATGGACATTGACAACAGATAAGCACTAAATGACTATATTCTTTACTTTATATTTCAATGTCTGGAAAGAAAAGTAGAATACTTAAATAATCAAAACAAAAATACCGCATGCCTTTTATAAGTACACATCAAAATATTATCATGTCTCCAAACATGCCATTTGAACTTTAGCTACTTACTTGGTGGGCCAAGGACATCTTTGCTATCACCAAGAAGCTTTTAGTGCAGTGTAATTGAGCAGCGAACAAATACAATCCAAACAAGGAAGAAGCACAATGCATCAGGATTGAAGCAGCAGTGAAACAAAAGGACAAGGAAAATAGCATTAGTTTATAAGTAGAAAGCACATGCACATCAATTCTAATAATCACAATTCAGAAGGAATTTCCTTTTCCACACATAAAAAGATCTTGGCTTAGGCATTATCCAATATTTGTTTTATTCTGGAAAATGAAGGTAGAAAGAGAAAAATGAAATCACCTAAGTATTTTGTTTTGAAAATTACTCAAGTCAAAAACTACTTTCAATTAGAATTTAAGATATGGGTTAGGAGTAGTAAAAATTATTTAGAAATGTAAGGTTCAGCCAAAATGTATTCATTCTTAAATTTAAATAGTTTAAAATTATATAGCACCCATGCACTATTAAGTATTAGTTCTGCATGCCAAGAAAGCACTTAATACTATATGGTAATACAGTCTATTTTTTCTATAAAAAGAAAGGAACATTTACTGAGTGCTTATTATATTCCAAGCATTGTGCAAACACCTTTTACAAAGATATAAACAAAGTAATACAATTATTTTCTCAAATGGCAAAAACACAAAGAGGAATATTGATTAGAATGATAAATTTTATTAAGTCAGACAAAATTTCCTTAGGGCCTACTAAATATCAACCATACCACCTAGAGTTACTAATCTTTAGGAAGTTATAAGACCCAATTCTTAAATGAATAACTTGAAATCAACTAAAAGAAACAGAAAAAAAGATTGCTGACCTTTAGTTACTATTTAAACATACAACATTACACTAAATGTCACCTACGGACAAGTGTTTTGGTTTCCTTTAGTAGGAACAAAGTCATTAGCTCTCCTTCATTTCAAATACCAATTATGATAACATAACAAAACTAAAATAACAACAAAAACAAATATTCCCACCAATTACATTATTGCTTGGCCTTATTTAAGGGGAATGAGGGAGTCTTAATTGGTTATGACAATTAATAGCAGTTGTTTGTTTTGGGCTTCTGTTGTCTCCTAGAAAAAAATCTTGGCCCTGTTAGTTCCCTGAAGTGATGGTTATTTCACAATGCTTGAAATTATTTTCCAATGCCTTTTAAAGGCATTTGCTTAAAAAATAAATAAATAAAGGCATATGCTTTATTGATTTTTCTATAGTTGCCCATTTAAGTGCATTTTTTTTAATAAACTGATTTCAATTTCACAGGATAAGAAAAAAAACCATCCCACAACCTCAGTGACAATGAACTAATTATGCTAAAGTCCTTATTACCATGTGAGAACAACTAGCAAGCATGTGGTAAGAGATATTTATGGTAGGCAATCTCTAAAAGGGCACAGTGATCCCCACTTCTTGGTGTATAATCTCCTTGCTGAAATCACTTCTAATGAACAGAATATGGCAAAAGGGAAGGGATGTTACTTCTAAGATTAGATTGTAAAAAGATTATCACTTCCATCTTGTTTGGAGTCTCTTATTTATCACCAGGGAAAGCCAGTTGCCCAGCCTTGTAGAGGCCCAGGACTCAGAGAAACAGGTCTGTCAACAATCACTAAGTGAGCTTTCAAGTGAATTTCCCATCTTGACCCTTCTCACCTGCCCTTCCAACCCACCCAGTCAAGCCTTCAAGCAAGACTGCAGCAGGCCCAGCGGCCATGGCTCAGTAGCTGAGTGCTGACCTATGAACTATGAGTTCATGGTTAGATTCCTGGTCAGGGCACTTGCCCAGGTTGCAGGCTCGATCCCCAGTGAGGGGCATGCAGGAGGCAGCTGATCAATGATTCTCATCATTGATGTTTCTATCTCTCTCTCCCTCTCCCTTCCTCTCTAAAAATCAATAAGAATATATTTTTTTTAAAAAGACTGCAGCAGGTCCCCTTCTCAGTGGCTTGACTGCATCTATATAGAGATTTTGAGCCAGAGACAACTAGCAAAGCTGTTCTTGGATTCCTGACCTACAGAAATTGTAAGATAATAAATGCTTTTCATTTTATACCACTTACTTTTAGGATGATATGCTAACACCAATAAATATAACATTGGAAACGGAAAGAAGAAATTGACAGAGACAGCTGTGGGAAACTACAAATGTTTCACAGACATTTTCTAAAAAAATGTTCCTGTACTAATATGAATAATTACTACTTTCCCTAGTTTTATCAGGAACTTCCTAACTGAAAGCAATGGTTCTAAACCAGCAATTCTCAACCTGTGGGTCGCGACCCCTTTGGGAGGCGAACGACCCTTTCACAGGGGTCGCCTAAGACCATTGGAAAACACATATATAATTACATATTGTTTTTGTGATTAATCACTATGCTTTAATTATGTTCAATTTGTAACAATGAAATTGGGGGTCACCACAACATGAGGAACTGTATTAAAGGGTCGCAGCATTAGGAAGGTTGAGAACCACTGTTCGAAACATTTATACATGGTTGGGAGTGTTTAATTTCACAAGGTTGGTCATATTTGAAGGTTTTTGAGTTGGGCTTAAATTTACTTTCATTGTACAGTTCTGTTATATTCTCAATTTTTGTTGATTAATAGCATTTTCTCAACTTTTGTACAGTTGTACTCCTTGCCTGCTTATTCCCAGAAAATAATCCTTAGTACACACAGCAATTTCTGAATATTTGTTTCAAAGTATGCTGGCTTTCAATTTTATATCCTAAAGCATCTTTGTGTCATATAAATCTAATTCTATTGATTTAATCTAATGTTATTTTCAGATTAAGAAAATGAATAATTAAAATAAGCATAGTCTAGTACAATCATAGATCCATCCATGCATCTAAGTATTTACTGAACACCTACTATATAGACAGGTATTACTTTAGACACCAAGAAATATACTAGTGAGCAAAACAGACAAAAATCCTGTCTTTGTGGCAGTTATGTTCTAATGGGGGTGATGAACAATGACATAATAAACAAGTAAAAATATGTAAGAAAATTCGGACATATAAAATGTTAGGGAAGAGGGAGTTAAAATTTTAGATAGAGCCCTGGCCGGTTTGGCTCAGTGGATATAGCGTCAGCCTGTGACTCAGGGGTCCCAGGTTCGATTCCGGTCAAGGGCATGTGCCTTGGTTGCGGGTGCATAGCCAGTGGGGAGTGTGCAGGAGGCAGCTGATCGATGTTTCTCTCTCATCGATGTTTCTAACTCTCTGTCCCTCTTCCTTCCTCTCTGTAAAAAATCAATAAAATATATTTTTTAAAAAAAATTTAGATAGAGTGTCCTAAGAAGACTTCCCCACTACAGGGTTGACTGAGTAAAATGAGGTTAACTTACCTTAGGACATAAAAAGGAAGAGTATTCCAGGCAGAGGGAGGAGCAAGTATAGAGTAGAATATTGATAAGGAAGCAAGTTTGGAGTGTTTGAGGACTAGTAAAAAGGCCAAAGAGGCTGAAATACACTGCAAGCAGGCGAGTATTAGGAGGAGATAAAGTCAAAGAAGTAAATGGGTGTCAGATTGTACGGAACTTTATAAGACCTAGCCATAACTTTGATTTTATTCTGAATGAAATGAGGGCCACTGAATGGCTCTATGAAAATGAGTGACATAATCTGATTATTTTTTAATAGAAATGCTCTGGCTGCTATGTTGAGAATAGACCAGGGACAAGGGTATATAATCAGTTAGGAGGTTACTGCAATAAACTAGGGAAGAGATGAAGGAGACTTGAACCAAAGTGGTAGCAGTGACAGTGATGAGAAGTAGCTGATATCTGAATATATTTTTAAAGTAAAGCCAACAGGATTTCCAAATAGACCAACTATGGGATAAAAAAAAAAAAAGAGGAATCAAAATGATGTCAAATGTTGAGGTCTGAGCACTTGGAGGGACAGAATTGCCATTATCTGAGATGCAAAAGACAGCGAGAGCAACTAGTTTACAGGGAGAAATGTAAGTAGCTCAGTTTGGAACAGGTCAAGTTTGAAATGCCTGTTAGACATCCAAATAAAAATGTGAAACAGGCAGTTGGACAAACAGACCTGTATAGGGAAAGGTGTAAATTGGTAAGAAATTATTATAAACTGGAGGCCCAGTGCACGAAATTTGTGCACGGGTGGGGTCCCTAGGCCTGATTCATGATCAGGGCCAATCAGGTTTCCTGCCTCTCCGCCTCCCCACTGCTTCCTTCCCTTGCCGCACCCGTCCGCCACCACCCACCCCCAGTTTCCCATCCCAGCCTGGGGCCCGGCCCCAATTGGGTGATGGGGACCTGCCAACCGGGGGAAGGGGGGAGAGGGCCCAGGAGGTTGGCCGCCAGCCCTTGGCCCCCCTGGGAAAGGGGCCACATCTGCCGCCACCCACCCCTGGTTCTGGTCCCAGCCTGGGGGCACGGCTGGGGGGACGGACTGGGAGATTGACCAGCAGGCCCCATCGGTGATGGTGGCCTGCGGGCTAGGGGCAGCTCCTGAGTTGAGTGTCTGCCCCCTGGTGGTCAGTGTGCATCATAGCAACCAGTCCTTCTGTCGTAACAGTGGCTTTTAGGCTTTTATAGATATAGACTAGGGGCCCGGTGCACAAAAATTTGTGCACTGGGGAGGGGGTTCCCGCAGCCCAGCTTGCCCCCTATCACATACTGGGAGCCCTAAGGGATGTCCTACTACCTGCTCCCTGCTCCCTTGGGGAGTGGGCCTAAGCCACAGTCTGGCCACCCTTTGTGGGAGTCGACCGGGCTGATCAGGGGAAGGCACCAGCCCCATCACCGCACTGTTGCAGCCACTGCAAGTCAACAATTGCTGGCTGGCTCCGCCCTGGTTCCCCGCCTCTGCCGCCATCAACAATCGTTGGCTGGCTCCTCCCTGGCCCAGGCCTAAAGCCTTGGGCAGAGGCTTTAGGCCTGGGCCAGGGCACCCCCAGCTCCCGCCGCAGCTGATCGCTGGCTGGCTCCTCTCCGGCCCAAGCCTAAAGCCTCTGCTA